AAACTGCGAACGTAATTCCCATCAGGAAAAACAATAAAAACCCCAAACTAGTAGATAGCTACAGGCCAATCTCTTACTTTCAGGTCTAGCCAAAATCGTGGACAAAGTCATTCTTACAAGATTATGAAACTTTGACAACAACAACCACATTATCCCCCCGGAACAGTTCGGTTTCAGAGAGGGTCACAGCACTATCGCACAGATAATAAACATAACTCATTAGGAAAAAAGGCCTTTAATTCCAAAAACCAAACCGTGCTTGTGGCCCTTGACACCGAAAAGGCCTTTGATACAGTCTGGACCGGAGGGCTAATCTACAAAATGATTGTGAATGACTATCCTGGTCACATTATAAAAACAATTTCTTCTTATCTCAAAGACAGAAAATTCAACATAAAAAAACACAAAACCATAATAGGACCTTACAATGCTGTTGCTGGAGTACCCCAAATATCGGTACTGTCGCCGCATTTGTACACCATTATGACTCATGACATGCCTATGGGTCTTAATGGGGTACAAACGGCGCTGTATGCCGACGATACCTGCATTTATAAGTCTTCTAAATCAGCCAAAATCGCCACAAGGAGACTAAACATTCATATAAACAGAACGTTGATTCCCTATCTTGATGGAAATAAAATGAAACAATATTACCGAAACCTGCAATTAAATACCTCAGTTTCCATCTAGATAGGAGATTAACGTTCAAAAACCACATTAAAGATCGAATTGCCAAAGCATCGGGAATGATCAAATCCTTTACCCCATGTTGGCCCGAAACAGCAAAGTTTCAAGGTCAAACAAACAATTAATTTACAAACAAGTAATTAGGCCTATTTTATTATATGGATGTCCAGTCTACTGCTCCATGGCAGAAACACATTTTAAAAAGCTCCAAATATCTCAAAACAGGTGTCTTCGGCTAATCCTTGGGTGTGCGAGAGACACCAGAATCAACGAACTACACGAAAGGACAAACATACTTCCTATAAGACAGTACATACTCAACACAGCTGAAAATTTTTATAAAAATTGTCTACCTCGTCAGGTTAAGGAAGACATAAACCGATATACTGCTCGAAACAGTAATAATAGGAAGCATGTTTGGATCCATGAAAACCTGACAATATACAGACGATGAACAGAGACAAAAATAAAGCACAATAACATAAACAATCATTGCATGTACTGATTACTTTGCGATTCCCAAAGCCGACTGAATCCTCAATTCAGAAGGCGAGTGACTATATCTGAAGGTGGGAAGGGCTTAGGCCCGGAGCGCTCTGTCATTTGCTGAAGCTTCTAAACCCTGTTTTTTCCATAGCTTTTTCAGGGAAAATGACTAAAATTAAATTCAGACATATCTTTATTAAGGTCAATTACTGCACAATAGCTTAAAAATTCAGAATAGTTGAATAATACCGATGTGGTAAGGAGTCAACTCTGTATCCAACAAAAGGACAAACATCTGCAGGTTGTGAAGGCAGAAGACCAGCCAAGAATCGACAAGATTCGACGAAGAATGTGACATTTTTCGTATTTTTCTGAATTTGTAGATGTACAAATGTATATATGGAGAAGTGCCTTGAAAGGGACATGTACTGAAAGGGACACGGCTAATTACAGATCTCTTGGGTGGGCATAAGTAATTGCGAAAACTCATAATAGATGGCAGCAAAGGATCTAACATCAGTGTTCTGGAGATTTCTATGGAATGTTTTCAGTTTGCCAGTGCACGTGGTTTAATGTGCTTATATTAGTGAAAAGTAAAATTTTGCATTGTGATATTTTTATCAATATCTAGTGATATAACCAAAATCTTGAAGAGACATTTTATTGTAAAGACTATTGGGTATACGAATATACATTTCTGGGCTTAATTCTCAAAAATGGCAGGTGGGTGTTTTTTTATAAACCCTAAACTTTAAAATTTACAAGAAGTAATAAAAGGGACACTAAAGAAAAGTATGAAAGGGAACGGTGTCCCTTTCATTACTTGTCAATTTTAATTGTATTTTTTGAAACTACGTTTTTTTACATCGCAAGTGTGGGTCTTCTCTTTTAACCGCCAATACCCTAGAACTATTTGTTATTCATTCTTTTCAGAAAACGTTCCAAAATCTGAAAAAAAGAAAAAAAAATATCCGAAAAACTGCACAAGAAATCGAAAATGCTGTTATTGAGGTGATTTCTCACAATCAATCAGTTCGTTCCATTGCTAAATCAACTGGAATAGCAAAGTCAATGTTGGCTCGGTTGGTAAAAAAGGCACGAGAAAGTGAAGGAGAATTTTCATATCGACCCAATATTGGCAACAGAAAAATCTTTACAGAGCATGAAGAACAGCTATTGGAAGAATATATAAAAAAGGCATCCAAAATGGCATATGGACTCACTCGATCCCAGGTTCGTGGACTCGCATTCCAATATGCAACTAAACTTAAGAAGTCTTTTCCAAATAGCTGGACTCAGCATCAAATGGCAGGTGTAGATTGGTATAATGGATTTGTAAGAAGGCATTCCAGACTTTCATTACGCAAGCCAGAAAAAACAAGTTAAGCTAGAAGCACTGCATTTAACAAACACATCGTAGAAATGTTTTACAACAACCTGAAACGTGTTCTTGAGAAGTACAAGTTTTCTGCTGACAACATTTACAATGCAGATGAAACAGGTCTTTTAACTGTAACTGATCAGCCAAAAATATTTGCGCAAAAAGGTGCAAAACAAGTGGCTCAAGTATGCTCCCAAGAAAGAGGTCAGCTAGTAACAATGTTAACATTTATTTCGGCAACAGGAAATACGATCCCTCCTGCGTTCATTTTCCCACGAGCCCATTATAAAGATTTTATGCTCGAAGAGGGTCCAGTTGGAAGTCTTGGACTAGCCTTTCCTTCAGGATGGATGGATACAAATAATTTTATTTCTGCATTAAAGCATTTTATTAAACATGCGAAACCCACAAAGGAAAATCCAGTTTTATTGATTATGGATAACCATGAGACGCATGTTAGTATTGATGTTATAATCATGGCAAAGGAGAACAATGTAGTAATATTATTTCTACCACCCCACTGCAGCCATAAGCTCCAGCCTTTAGATGTGGCAGTTCTAGGACCATTCAAAACTTTTTTCAAGTGTGCACTGAATGACTGGATGATCAATAATCCAGGAAAAACAGCAACAATCTACACTCTTCCCAAACTAATAAAATCAGCTTATGAAAAAGCCTACACCATTAAAAATATTACTGCTGGATTTCGTAAAGCCGGAATATTTCCATTTGATTCAAATGCATACACAGATGACGATTTTGTATCTGCTTCAGTAACAGATCGTCCTTTTTGTGAAACCAATGCTTCATCAACATCTGGTGTTCAATATCCTGAAATAGCACAAGGTTCTCAAACAGAAATAATACCTTGTGAGGAAAATTGACAACCTGTGGCACTTTCTTGTCAACAAATAAATATTGTAACTCCAGAAACAGTCCGACCTTTTACAAAGGCAGAGCCTCGAATAAATAATAGACGAGGAAGAAAAAAGGGAAGTTCCAAAGTGATGACTGATACACCTGAGATAATAGCACTGAAAGCGATCTCCGAAGAAAAGGAAAATAAGAGAAAGAGGTCCTTGTCAAAACAAGAAAAGACGGTAAAGAGGAAAATATTGCAAGAAAGTAGTAGCGATGATTCAGGAAGTATTAAATATGATGATAGCGAGAGCGGTGACGATTTCAGTAATGAGGATATTGAATTAAACGTAGATTTTGCAAAAGAAGAAAATTACTTCAGGCATGCTGTAGGTCGTATTCTGGATGTAATGGAAGAAGATGAGTTCAGGTTAAAATTTATGAAAAAGTCTACCAAGACAGATACCTTTAAATATCCAGTTGCTGATGATATAAGCGAAGTGAACAAAATTGATATTGTTATGGTTCTACCGGAACCTCAAAGAATAGAAGGTTCCAAGCGGGTTAACGAGTTTTTTAAGTTCCCTGTCGATCTGTCTAATGTAGCAGGAATTATATGATGTAAAAGTTTTTTTTAAAAGAATTTTAATAAAGTTTTTTCTACTTTCAGTGGTTTTTTTATTGTCTATTTCTCGATAACACACTTGCATCCAGAAATGAGTTATTTAATTCATAAGAGTACTTAAATATCGCGTTCAGATGCTTATAAGCTCACGTCCGTTACCTAATTTCGGTGTGTCCCTTTCAGTACATGTTCTGTCCCTTTCAATACATTCAAATAGCATGAAAGGGACAATATCACACTCAATCAAAAAGTGAAATTACACCAATACCAATTAAAATTAGAAAACCTTGTTATCACTAATAACATCATAAATGTTTGGGTATAATCCTATTAAAAAATTGTTTAAATAATATCAGTCCCTTGAAATTTTTTTACATTTTTCTTAAAAATGCCCCTTTCAAGCTTCCAAGTGCTCCTCGATCGCGGCATTTCCGGGCGGTTTATAGTCCACTCTCTCAGTGAATTATGACAAAAAACCACAGACAAGTACAAAACTTCATACCACAAATGACAACCCTGTTTTTTCCTAGCATTTTCAGGGGACAATACGAAATTAAGACACGACATATCTACCTATAGACACAATTACCGATTCATATCTTTCCAAATCCCTTAATAATACCCCAAGGTAAGGAGTAAGGGCGGCTTTATTATAGCTATTCACATCACGACTAAAATGCACGGCATATTACAGGCGGGAAACCGTCTTAGGCCTCAGAGGTTTACCACTAGGGCCAATATTGTACTATGTACAATCAGTTTTAAGTTTTATGTTTATGTATTGTACAAAAAGATTTTTTAAAAGGTGAATAAAGATTTTAAATGAATGAATATGTAAAATTGCCATGAGAAGCCATGTATTTTGAACAGCACTACTAGCACCAGCGCCTTTACGGTGGATTTAAAAAGCTCAATTAGAGTTTGTGTTTTTTTGACCGTATTTCGAGTATGCCGATTTGCCTCCTTCTATCCAGCCTTCATACTCTACACTCCATAATCTAGTTTGTATTTGCTTTCAAACTATGTCAAATAATGTATTTTGGCGTTTACATCTATTTTATATTTATTTAAGTTTATTGGGTTATAAAAATCTTTAAGTGGGTTGAACAAGTATAAATTCTATAAATATGGCTTCGTCACATCCTAATAGGGATGTTAAAAAATCAAGTGATGAACTATCTGTTAAAGAAAATTGTGAAGAAAAATATGATAGCGTATTAAACAAAATTGTACAACCTCTAAAGGAACATGAAGAAGAAATAGAAAAAAAGGACATAATATTAACATTAGAAAATAACGTGAGCGTATATAGAAGCAACCATTCTTTGGTAATAGAAAAACAGGATAAAGCTTCTGAAGAGGAAAAGATTTTTGATATTGATAGTAAATCCATTTTTGATGGAAAGTGTCCACCAGATACGTATCGTGAGACTTTTGAATCTAAATCCTTTGGCAAATCACAAATGATCTTTTATCTAACTGTAAAGTATTCTATACCCGCTTATGATGATGCAGGTCAAAGAATACCGCACGCAACTTTAGATGGCGATATAAGAAGAGGAACTTACGTTTGTAAAGCTACCATGATTCTCACATTGCAGTTAATTTTCCTATTATCATTTGCTTTTGCATGCATTTGGATCACACCCTTAGGAGATTTAATAAAAAGCACTATTGAATTGTTTTGTTCTATGTGTATCCTATCCTTTGTACTGTATTGTTTGATTTTATACTGGGAAAGTATTAGAAAAAATTTTCCATATAATTATATTATATTGATTATGTTTACAATTTCTCCGGCATTGATTTTGGGATTCATCAATGCTAAATTGAAAACTCCTCAATTATTAATAATAAGTTTAGCTGTAGTTATAGCAGTGTGTCTTTTAAGCGGTATGGTATTATGTATAAATTGTCCTCGATATTCTGCTCAAACAAATCGAATAATTACCATCGTGCATCTCATTGTTGGGGTCGTATTTGGTATAATAGCCGGTATTCATCACTGGGTCACCGGTGGTTTTTTATTAATCTATATTTATTTATGCATACTTGTAGTTATAGACAGTTTCAACATTCTGCGCTTCGCTCAACTAATTTATGGAATAGGAAGGAGTAATGCTATGAAAACTGATGAACACCTTCTAACTGCTGTTATACTGTATACTTATATTGATGCACTTATATGTTTTTTACTAATAATAATGAATGGCCTATATGAACAAAAACAGATTTTTTAATAAAATAACCAATATTAACTTCGTGTTTAATTTTGTGTTTGGTACAACAACGAAAAATTACTGTAGTCTGAATAAAAGAGGAATAATAATAATAATAATAATAATGTTTATTTACCAGCAATATATACATTCAGATACAATAAAATAAAATCCAATAGGAAATAAAATGTAAATAAACAAGAAATGTGTCACTGAATATGCTCACTGTACAAAGTACAATGACAGATTGTGTGTGACAAAAAATACGACAAAATAAAAATAAATAAAACTTATAACAATACAATACTAAAAATTTAAAAATATGAAGCAATTAAAATACAAATTATTAATATAAATAAAAGTTATATAAGTACAATCTTTACACTTTGATAATAAGTAAAATTTATTTCCAATATACCTCGGCATAAGTATCTCATACAACGAACATAACTTCTACATAGACAAAGAACATTTTTAAAATATTCAGATTCTTTAACGTTTAATAATATACTTTCCAATTATTTAATTTCTATTTTTTTTATTCGATAATATTACGGAAAAAAGTTCGCGGTGTTTCTGTTATAAATTCTTTTGTACAGCTTTTAAATTTTTTTACTGTTTTTATTTATCGAAGCTCTGTTGGAATGTTATTAAAGATTTTTGGTCCCAAAAACCGATAGCTATTTTGTCCAATTGATTTATTCGTTCGTGGTAGCAAATAATTGTCTCTGTTTCTTGTATCATATTGATGCAACGGTGTTTGCAGATCATCTTGATTTTGAAATTGATGGGTGAGTGCTGCTTGACAGAATAACTGTCGTAAGTCAAATATCTGGGTTTCTTGATACACATTTTCAGTAGGATATCTTCTATTTTTGTTTAGCATTATTTTAAAAAAACTTTTTTGAATGATCTCAATTGGCTTTAAGTGCGTTTTAGTGACTCCACCCCAACCAATTATTCCATAGTTGAGATGAGATTCGGAAAGGCTATGATACAAAATTCTCTTCTGTGGTAATTCAAGCATTGGTGATATTTGTATGAATTTAAATAAGACACTACGTAATTTGTTGAGTAAGTACTACTGAGTATGTTTGTCCCAGCGCAAGTGGCTATCTACCATTATCCCTAAATATTTAGTTTTATTTTCAGGTAGTATATATGTGTCGTTCTCGATAGCGATATTTTGAAATTGAGGAAGACCAGAGGCTAGACTGCAAAAAGGTAGGTACACTGTTTTTTGAAAATTTATAGATAGTAATCGGTAGTCAAACCATGTTTTTATTTTGGGGAAATCCTTCTCTACCAATGTTTTCAAGTTATTCCTGTCAGTAGCTTCGTAATGCATTACTATGTCATCTGCAAAGCTAATAATATTTGCTTTACTTTCCACTAAAAAGAGATTGTTCAGTTAGACTATAAAAAGTAGAGGCCCTAATACTGTTCCCTGAGGTACACCACATGAGACTATTTGATCGATGCTGGTAATATTTTGTATTTTGGTTTTCTGTTTTCTGTTTGTTAAGTAAGACTTCATTAATTTATTGGCTATACCCCTTATACCCATATCTTCAAGGGAATTTAATAAATGACAATGATTGACGGTGTCGAAAGCTTTAGCCAAGTGTAAAAAGATTCCTATTGATGGTTTTTTATTGTCAATTGAACAGTAAATTTTATTAGTTAGTTCCCTTATTGCGTCTTCCGTTGAACTTCACTCCCTAAATCCATATTGTCTTTTTGATAACAATTTGTTTCTTTCCAGGAAGTCACATATTCGATGTTGTATCACTTTTTCTAGAATTTTCCCTATTGAAGAAATCAGGGCTATCGGTCTGTAGTTAGTTATTTCTGTTTTTTCGCCATTTTTATATATGGGAATAATTAGAGACTGCTTAAAAAGTTGAGGAAAGGTGCCTGTAGAGAGGCTTGTGTTGATTATATTTGTAAGTGGGGCAGCTATAAAGTCTGAAATGAGTTGCAATGTCTCTGCAGTTATGTTATCCGATCCTGGAGCTTTCTTCTTTTTTAAACCTGTTATTATTTGTTTTACCTCGGTTATAGTTGTGGGAATAAAAAATATTGAATTGCTAGAAACGTTCTTTTTTTCCTTATAATTTTTTGTTTTTTTAACGTTTTTTGCTAAATTTATCCCTACATTTGTAAAAAAGTTATTAAACTCATTTGCTATGCGATTTGGATTAGTGATTAAAATTCCATTTTCAGCTTCAATACGTGTTATAATATGTTTTTCTTTATTTTTTGTTAATTTATTTAACATATTTTTATAATAGTTGATTTTTGCTTCTTTAATTTGAATATTTACATTTTTTTTGTATTTATTGTACTCACTATATAAACTTGCATTTTGTGGATCATTTTTATATTTTTTATGTTTCATTTTTTTTTATTGATGAGTTTAATCAATGATCCAGTTATCCAAGCCTTTCGTTTTCGTTCATTTTTTTTTATTTTAATTTTAATTTCAGATTTTTTAATAGCATCTTGGATATAGTCTACAAGTTTCTCAACTGACAAATCAAGATTTTCAATATTTATAAATTCCAACATTACAACATATAGACAAAATGTTTCATTCATAAATCTCATACAATTGCGGACTGTTATTGTTAGTGAGTGGAAGAGAGAAAGACAGATCTCTTATGACCGGCTGGCAACGTTGTAAACAGTGTCCATAATATGCTCGCCAGTGGCGTAGAGTTTTAAACTTACCAGTATTTTTAGAGTAGTATGTTAAAAAAATACGTAAATATGTAGGTATATTTTTTTAATAATATAATTATGCTGATTTTTTCATGTAGGTAGATTAGATTATGAGTTGGACGTTATTTGTCCTTATCGACCGCGACCTTTTCAGATCTATTGTGGGACTCCTGTTTGTTTTAGAGTATGTCGTCTAGCCTGGTCTTTTTTATTAGTCTCAGTAGCTTTGACAGTGGCTCCCGCATGTAGTTGCATGCAATTGGCTTTTCTTCGCCCAATGTTAGAAACCTCGTTCCAGCCAGGCATTCACATTGGCACAGGACGTGGAATATTGTTTCCCCTTCTTCTTCACAGAACCTGCACAAAGTTGCTTCTTCTGCTGGATTTATGACACTCATGTGCCTTTTGAGGCGACGGTGTCCAGTAAGAAGGCCTACTGTTATCCTAACGTTTGACGCTTTTGATCCAGTAGGTCTTTCGTGAACTTGGCCGATGGTTCCTTAATAAAGGAACCTGTCTCAGTCTTGGATAGTTGTTTTACCATTCCTGAAACTCTGTTTGCATTCATTGTTTAATGGATGCCTTGCACAATAAGGGTCCCGGGCCTGTCATGGCCTTATCTGAGCCTGCTCGGCCTAATTCGTCGGCCTTTTCGTTGCCCTGATATCCCTCATGGACTTGAACCCAGGCTAAGGTCACCTAATTTTAACTACTTAGCTCTGTCAGGTCTTCTAGACAGTCTTTCACCAGTCGTGATTTGATTTCTGGTGAGAGAATTGCCTTCAGAGTATATGACAATAGTTTTGCATGATACTTGCTGATTTTTCATGTAGGTAAATTCAAGTACAAGTAAATTCAAATACAAGCGAATTCAAGTTACCTTTCGATTTTTAATATTTATTGGTTTATAGTTTATTGGCATTTGCTATATATTTGCATGGTATGATGTTAACCAAAATTATTTAAAATTTTAAATTAACATTAAGTAGGTAGGGGTATCTAAATAAAACACTGTCCTAAAAATATATAATTTTTTAATTAATAATTACAAAAAACATGGTATGGCAAAAAATATCGTAAAAAAACTGTAGAAATTTTTAAAATAATGTTTTAAATATATAAAATACTTTAATTTTATTAACTAAAATTTCATTTAATTTTTTTATGCTTAGTTATTAATGTTATAACTTACTGCAACGTTTCTTTTTGCAGCAGGTGGTGTTCCAAAAATAGTTGAATCAGAACTAAAAACCCATACATTAGATATACATACATATAGGTAATAAATAATGTTTAGAGGTAAACAAAAAATTTATATTTTGTGTTTTTACCTGTTGGATAAGTCATCCAAAAATAGAAAGCCCTCACACCGTCTGGAGTTTGCATATTTTCTAATATATCTAATACCATTTGCACGTACCAAAACATTTTCAGTAAAACAGTGTTCTAAACACAACTCTGGGTTTTTTCGAAGGGGCTGATTTTCAAGGATTCCTATTAGAGAAAACCAAAGTTTTCTTTTCGCAGGATCTTGCGGAAACCTAAATAGAGTAATAAAAAATATGTATAGGTGCTCAATAGGTAAATCATTTTTAAGGTATTCTACATTTTACGTTAAATTTTCTTTGCCACTATTCAATATTTATTTATTGGTAAAAGAAAAATTTACTAATTTATAAAAGGAATATCACTTTAAAAACTGTTTTAAGACTGTTTTAGACTACACAAGTTTTTGATACAATTTCTTGTACAATTTAAATTGTATATTATCAAACCTGCAGTAAATTGTCTGAAAAATTAGATTGGATAATCATTTTTCAAACAATTTACTATGTGATCCTATATAATTTAAATTCTATAAGAAATTGTATCAAATCTTGTACAAGCCCTACTCCACTGGTTCAAATGAAAACAACATATCTTAACCTAAAAATACTTACCGATGAAACCATACATTTCGACTTAAATGATCTACCTTTTTCAACACTACACATGCATGTACCATAATTATTTATATTTCTCACAAAAGTTCACAAAATAGTATATTATGCAACGATCATGTAATGATGGTTATTAATACACGAGCATTAACCGGGATACGAAACGAGCCAAAGGCGAGTTTCGTATGGTTTATGCGAGTGTTTTAATAACCATTACATGAGAGTTGCATACGCTATTTTTTCTACACCCGATAAATAATCAAGACCTATAAATATTATATTTATATTGGTATTGAACACAATAACAGTAATTACTCGTATTTCTATAAAAAATTCTACAAAATTGTAATTAATGGTATTACTTCAGGTATTGGT